TAGGTTTAAACAACTTGCAAAATAATTCAATTACTATTTCTATAACACTGGCAGGATGATATGGAAAATAGTTTTTAGTGTTTTTTTGTTTGTTTTTATAGCAAAGTATAAAAACAAAGTTTGTATTTCAGCAGATTATGGTTCAGCTACAGACAAATGAACCTGGCAGTCTAATGTATCTCCATAGTTTTGGGAAAATCAGCAGACAGCGTTGTTACACACTGTAACAACAATTCAGTTCTGTAATACTTCTAAACTTTCTACATCTTTTATTACCAGTTCAACAGTAATTGGCATTACACAGTTTTCTTCAGAGGTCTTCCATTCTGGATTTTTTTTATTTTTTTTTAATATTTCCATAAACTTGTATTTTCAAATATCAGAACACTGATAAAGGTGCAGAGTTGACAAGCAGCAACCACAAAGTAAAAGAGAGCCAAATATGATGCCCACTGGAAACACTTGCATGTAAGGAAAGAAAATTACTAGTTTGAATGTCCTCTCTTTACCAACAGAAGCATTCTGAATCTTAAAATTCACTCCAGGAAGCTGAAATGATACAATTAAACACACTTAACCAAAGACAGCAGAAAGGCACTGCATATGTCAAGCTGTTTGTGCATTTAAATTGATTTTGAGAAGAAAAACTCACACAGCCTAAAAACAAACATACATGCCACTAAACATTTGACTTTCCAAAGCAAATCAAAACCTTGGGTATAAAGTTTACAGAGCAGAATACATAAATAAGCAGGAAGCACTGAAATGACAAATGTGAGAACTGAGAACGTGAAAAGAAATTGACTACAACATCTTTAAGTGCTGTCATTATTAATATTGATAAAGGGATTTTTTTGTCGTTTTTAAACTAAAGCATGTCACATTAAAGGGAAAAAATTACCTGTGGAAATTACAGGCTTCTTAACTGCCGTTAACTTATCATAGCAATTAAAAGCATCACAGACCAGTCAAAGTTTGTCTTTTATTTGCACTATAAAATCACAACTGAGCTTAGGAGGAGAGGCTTCTATCAGGAGAGGTTTCTATTTCATATTTTCAAAGACATAAAAAAGGAAAGATAGATACTATGATACATTTGCTGCTAGTAACGATAGCCAGGGTGTTTATCATAAATAAAGTTCCTCTTCACAGATCTAAGGTCACAACCCAGACAGAAGTACAAAGGACAGCCAGTGTTGTAATTTGATTAGCCTTCTGGATTTACAAAGCCAGTTTCACCTTCAGTCTCAATTCGCTATTTAAAAGAACAGTTAAAGCAGTTTGGTTTTGCAAGTGCCACTTTTACAGTGCTTTTCCACAGAGATGTCTAGCCAGCTTCACACATTTTATCAACTAACACCAACTAGAAGGGCAGATTCTATAAATACCAATTTTCATACACTAAACAGTTAAATCTCCAGAACAACTCTAGTCGTATTGGTATTCAGCTTGTAGCTCTTTACTGAAATGGATTCAGCTTCTCTTTCAACCAGCATGAACGTTGAACTGCTTTTACTGAATAGCACTTACTAATAATAAATAGCTTCCTATGAATATGGAAAAAGAGGAGAAAGACTATCCAAAATGTATTTTGCTTTCTATTTCTTTTAAGAATAGCAAGGGTCCCAGGAAAATAGACAAGAAACATACAGGACTGAGGAACGCTGCTTAAATGTGTAATCTGGTAGACAGCATCAATAGACATTATAACAGAACATCCCGATTCTAAACACTCACAAGTACAGCTTGTTCTAAAACATACAGATGTTTCATACAGGTTTATATCCTCACTGAATTTCAAAACTACAGGGCTTTTTGTTTGACTTACAGTCAAACTGTCTTTCTCAGTTTCTAAGAAAGATTTTGGGGCTGACTGGCTCATTTCAACCAAACCCAAAAGAAAAGTACTTCTTCATCACAGCTGTGTGCAGGGAAGGGTGAAAAGGGACACTGCCACATAATTCCCATGGTGGAAAAAGCTTCCGTAGCCATTCAGTCAGCAGTACAGCTGCCAGGTGGCCTGTCAGCAATCGTCTGGAAGTGATCAAAAAAAAACCTTGTGTTGCCTCTTGCCCTGGCATCCCTTAAAAAACCTGGGATGGAACCAGGTTTACTGCCAAGTTAGAATGAAGTATGGATCATAAACGGGAAATCAGGCATCATATATCTCATTTTTCAAGAAACAACCTACATTGCTGATACATTAAAAAGATTCAAAAACCATTAAGTCAAGCAAAAATTTACGATCACAAGTTTCATTTTGTTTCATTCAGCGGCTAAGATGGTGACACATTCAGTGACTATGTTTAACATTTTTTCTCATCTCAAAATGTGGATTAGAATTTCAATCACTACACACAACTGAAATTTTTTACAGCGGAGATGGGAAGTACTACTTTCCAATGGACACCCATATACAGCTCAAGAAGTCAGCATGCATGCTTTCTGAATGGTAACGAGCTTATCTTCAGCATCCTCATGATGAAACAGCTGTTATTCCCATTTCACAAAGCAAAAACAGAGGTGCAGGGAGATTACTGAGCGATGACCTTCAGTTTTGAGGCAGCTGAGATCTGTTCCCCCCCTCCCTGAATACTTCATACCATATAGAGTTCCTTGGGTCTGAAACATAGCTCCTTTTGAATTCAGTAGAAACTATGACTGTTAGTCAGTTTTGCAAGCCCAACTCAATATCCAGACAACATGAACACACAATTATTCATAGCTAGGTAGTTTACAATGCCAGGAGAAGGAACAACTTTAAAATTATTTGAACTCCCGCATAGCACAGTAGTAGAGGTTTTCCCAAGTTTAATCCTATTTGAATACATTTCCTTTTTAGGGAATGGGGGGAAGCCCCTTTAAAAATACTTAGTGACAAGTATCTACTTAAGTTTAGTAACTTATTCCAATTATTAATTACTCCATTAAGAACACACCCCTTATTTGAAGTCTGAACTTGCTTAATTCAGGTTCCAACCACAGAACTTTGTCAGCTGAAAAGAAGGATGCTTTTCTGTCAAATACCTCTTCAAATAGGTACATATTGATGAATGAAAAAATCCTTAATATTTCCTTCACTAAGCTAAACAAAATATGCATCTTAGTTATTGAAATTCCTGTCCCCTACTCCCATTTATTTTCAAGTCTAGCCTCTGGAGCCTAATTTGTCACCATTTCCAATTCCCTGGTTCACCTACTCAGTTTTTCACCAGTTAAAAAGGTTTACTTCAAGTTCAAACCGCATCAGTCATTAACCCCACGTCTTTTTCAGATTCTCCAAATCAGGCCCACTACTTGTTGCCCAATTCCATATTCAGTTGCACTAGCCCTGCCATGAAGCATTCTGTATTTTCAGTGTCCAGTTTATTAATGATCTAGATCACTTTGCAAGCTTACTAATGTTTTTAGTCCCAAATATATAGAAGATTACAGGTACAAAAGGAAGAACATCTGAAAAAAATTCCAGCAGTTATTTACAATAAGAAGTTCAGATACTCTGTAACCTCAAATACCAGAGGTTAATGCAAGGTATGCAATAGCAGACTTATCTCTTTGTATGTATCAACACTTGCAGATGCATAGCACACCACTGCTGGATTTTGCACCTTACACACACACAACATTGCCTAGGGATCTGTGCTCGTGGGAACCCCAATCTCTAGCCAAAGCCTTTCTAGAATATTACACAGATCTTTAAAAAGTTTTATTTAAAGGTAAGTCACCTCATGGACCAATTCAAAAAGACAGTTGTGGCCAGGAGCACACATTCTTGGCCAAAATTTCAAAACTCCTTACCAAAGCAGTCATAATGAGAAACAAGAAGACAAGCAGCACACCAGCCATCACAAATGCCTTAAGCAAACACATTAGCTTTAACATAATGGAAACCTTTAAACATTCAACCTTTGTTTTCTTCTTATGTAGGATGAAATAGAATTATAATTGCATACTACTTAATGCTGTCCAACTCTAAAACCTCTGTAAATAGCAGCCTGTCTGTAAGCAGAAGAGCAGCTTGAGCTGTCAGAGGCTCCAATCCAGCTCAACTTCACCACTTTAATGAAGACAGAAGGTGAAGAGGGCAGAGGTGTTTAAAGGAGAAGAAAATCGAGAGAACAGTATCTTCCCATAAAACCCATCTCCTTTTTCAAAGGATTGTATCATATTTTCCTAAAATACAGAAGTGTACATTCTTACTCACACAATTCTTTCCTGACTTTTTAGGCACTACAAACATTGCTGGGTGCACTAACTTGGACACTATCTTTTGTACCAGAACTTTAAAGGCATACACGCAGGGTTTAATTTTCCCCATAAAGGATCTTTATAAATTACCTGGCAGAAAGAAATCTATTCCTCTACAGCTAGGTCTGTTAGTTCAACATCTTTAGCATGCATATTTCAGGTATCATAGCCACCGTGACCTCAGAAGCAAGATCTGACCAGTCTGACTCAAGTTCTTGCCAGTTTCTCTCTTTCACTTGAGTGATTAGTACTGTACTCACACTATGAAATATTTCCTACAGCTGAGTCCCAATGATATCCTCTGACTTCTGTTTCTGATACCCCATCATTGATCACAACATGAAGGAACCCCCCCACACACACACATTCATGGAGCTTACATCTTCTAATGCACTTTTTAATCAGTTTCACTCGGTCCCTACACTTCTTCTGTTCTTCTGCTGTATTTTATGGGCAAAACAAAACGTGATATTTAACAAAACAGAATGACAAAGCACTGAAAAACAGCTGGAAAGACAATCCTGTAAATCCTCATTTGAAGTCCAGAATAAATATGAAGAAAAAAACACCATTAAAACAAGTGGAATAGTTACTTTTTCCTGTTCTCCAACTGTTTTCCAGATGATATCTGCTTGAATATATCTGATAAGGTTCTTTTACCTGTTTTTTCATCTTCTTGTCATTTTTGTTCTTCTTGGATTTTCTTCCATGTTTCTGTAAAGCAGAAATTTAAGAAAGGAAGAACAACTTACTGGTATTGAGAACTCCTCTGCCAAATACTTCAATAGTGATGCTCCTCTAGCCAAAAAGTTACTTCTCTCTGCCAGATTGCCTTGGAGTTTTGTGTCAAACTCCTTTCTGACAACTGAAGCAACAGAGTCAATTATTATGAGTTTAACCTTCTTTGAAATAATCTCTTCTTCCAAAGACTTAATCCTAAAAAAGCAAAAAACAAAAAATCACTTATACCTATATATATATAATACAACCATTTTATAATCCTGAAATTATTTAAATAAAAGGTTTGCCGCAATAAGGTAAAAGTCAGCCCCTCTTTCACCCTCATAGCCCACCCCCACTAACATCTGCATGCATTAAAGAGAACTGGAAAGTAATCTCAGGCTCCAATAGGCCACATAACCAAAGGTAGGCCCCTCCAGAAGAAAGGTTTGGAAGACTAGTTAGCAACATTACACTGTGCAAACCCTGAATGGCACAGACAGCAAATTAAGCAGACATTGAGACTGTGCCTTTGCTTACAGTAGCAGCATCCTACTGTCGACATCAAAATCCTTGTGTCTATGTATGCAGGAAGTCAGAGCTCTTTCCATATAGCTCCAAAGATGGTATGCCATCTCAGGAGGAGAAATATCTCCTTTCTGTTTCATGACATATATAACTCTTACACTATAGTCTCTCCACAAACCAAAACAAGACCTGTCACACAAATAGCCCCCTTTAAAGGCTTTGAGTGACCAGATTATATAGAAATTTTCTATCCTAAACCATAAAACATCAAGTAGATTAGTCACAAACTATGAAATGAAAAAAAACAATGCCAGTCTTCCTGTAGAAATTCTACTTTGTTGGGAACCATGCTGTTACTAAAATAAAAATCTTCTAAGAAGTGAACTACTCTTCATAAAACTTTGATATAAAATATTATAGATAATCTAGACAAATTATGGTGTTTTGTTTTTTCCTCCTTTTAAGTTCCGGGAAAGAATACCTCTTCAGTACACTGTCACAGGTCAGCTCTCGATACAGATGAACGCTACGGGTCATGCAAAATAGCTTTTCATCGGAGTCAAAATAAGTAGGAAATCTGTTTCCTGCTATCTCAACCAACCTATCAAAAAAACAAAAGGCATTACACTGAAAAAGGAATCATGTGAGGTAATAACACACAAAATATTAACAGAACAAACAAAGCAAATCTCTGAATGATAAGTAGATACCATGTTATTACGTGGCAATCTTTTTCAAAGGAGAAGCACAATTTAGTACTCAGATTGAAATACTGGAAGTCAGAACATTTAGATTGTATTCCCAGTGACGCTAGCCAGAGTCAATGGTACACTTGGGAAAGACATAATATGCCCATACACAAAAAGACAGCACATCTCCAGCAGAAGGAAACTGGAAAGTTTACAGTACTGAATGTTCTTCAGTTACAGTACTGAAAGTTCTTTCAATTTTGTATAACATGTTCAAGTCAACTGCTAAGTATTCTCCTATTTTAATTATTTATATCTAAGTAATAATTTCATTTAAATAAATGTACTCTTCAATCCAAACTACCTTCCCTTTCACCTTTACTTTGCATTGAAATCAGAAATCAGTTCTTGTGTCAACATAGAAATTCAACAAGATGATAACAAACAGAAGATCCATTACAAGATCCAGCCAACGTGGAAGTCAGACTGCAGAGAACCCCAATTGACCAGCAAACACTTATGCAAGCAGAGCATATACAACAGGTATACCTGCCAAAGTAAAAACCTTTTCACAGAATCTGTCTTTAAAAAGAAGAACAAGGTCATCTGGGTTGGAAACTTCTACACTGAATCCATTCCCATTGTACTGGTTCCCACTTTGAAAAAAGAGCTTATAAAACCTTAAGAAAATGTACTTTTAGAACATAGCAAAAAATATCAGCATTGTGTCACAAAGTAACTGAGGCTGCCTGTTCCAACTACCAGGCAGCTCCAGCAGAATCACCGAATGATTCCAGTTGGAAGACATCTTAAAGACCACCCAGTTCCAGCCCCCCTGCCATGTGCAGGGACACCTCCCACCAGACCAGGTTGCCCAAAGCCCATCCAGCCTGGCCCCGTGGCCACAACATCCATCCATCCAGATAGCCCAGGTAAAACTGACATACCATAAAATGATACAACTAAACAGTTTAAATGGCAGTTTTGCTGACATATTTAATGTGTGATTTCACGACTAAATATTGTCCACTACCTTTTTAGTAAATTCATGACCCTTCAAAACCTTGAATTACAATTATCAAACATACAAGTGTTTACTACCATGGTTGACTACAGAAATGTATCAGATAACTGGTGATAATACACTTTTCTATAAGAAGAAAAAACTCACATTAATGTAAAATTAAACAATTTACTGATGAGAGATCAACACTTTAAATTGACCTGTACACATAGAATTGAGGACACAAAGGCATACATTTTAGAAATGCTGAATGCCTGCAAATTCTCCTGAAGTCAGTGGAAAGAAGTTCTGTGCGTGTGAACACAAGGCAGCTTTATCTAGGTCCTTGAAAATGGGTCCAATAATTTAATTTTAGAAACTCATAGTTACAATCTGAGCACTGTACATTTCCCTCTCCCACCCCCATGGAGATTTTATTTTTGAGAACAGACATGGAAAGTACTTAATTGTCTCTATTTTAAGCATCCCTATCCCCTAGCTCATGTGCTTGAGAAGAACGACATCTGGTGGATGATACCTGGACACACATCTTACTGGTTAGCTTGATGCTGTTTGAACCCCTTTCACTAAAATCCAGAATGTTAAAAGCCGTTTTAGAAAAACTCTTAAATCATTATTCTTCAGCTTTACCATTTAAGCACAGTGTTGTATTTTAACCTAAATCTGAATAAGCAGTTTCAACACAATACCCTCAGTTTCACTCATTTGATGCATTACTTACTACATCAAAGCTTGTCCTGAGCAGCTTCCACGGACAGGATCTTGTCTTTACATTTGCACAGTTAATTAATAGGAAGGAATATATACGTCAAAGAAGACCATTACATAAATTGACTTCAAATGACACACCACAATCTTACTAAGATCACAGTATTATTTATACAGTACACGCAGGTTCCAAATTTTTTAAGATCGAAATCCCATTTGTCATAAACCCCAAAACTGCACAGAACATGCTCTCTGCAACCAAGGCAGAGGCCCATAGGGTGAAAATACCTCACTCTTCTCAGCATTAGTTCACAGAAATTTGCACCTCATGTTATTCCACAAGCAATAAATATAGCTGGACAGTAAACAGAACGCATTATTTTCAGAATTTCTAAAGAAGCTTGGTATGTTTTCAGTTAATTGGCTAGCTAGAGTTGAACTGAATTCCTAACAAAACTGTAAACAACAATTTTAATTTCACGAATGAGTACGGCCATTCCATCTACTTGTCCCAGCATCCACATTCTAACAATGGACACTGCACTGTTACAGCTTTTTATTCCACAGCAGAAAATATATACATATATCAATTACAGAAAACAGCAGCATATCTTAGAAGACCAGCCTCAATTCTGGTCACTTTTTTCAGCATTGTTATTAAATTGAACTAAGCTGTCATGTCAGAGAATAAGAAATAGCGTATGAAAGTTTATGGAAGGAGAAAGCTCCCTGCCCTGAACTAAGACCTTCCAGGCAGAAGGACCAGAAAAAAAAAAAAGTGCCTTTTAGCAAAACATAAAACTAGCCAATTTTATGTAATATCTTTCTAGCAACAGCAAGACATTACACCCAGTACAACAGCTACAACTTAGCAACTCTCAGCCCTAAAAGGCACCAGATATATCAACATTCTTCCTGGTCTTTTTGATGGAGACTTTTTCACAAAAACATTGTCAGATAAATGTCTCCACTGAGTCCTTTAAAATAAATTTCTGGGCAGTGAATATTTGCCCTCTTACCTGAAGTGTCTTCTCCAATAGCTGACTGACCTCATGGTCAAAAAGTTTCTCCATATATAAGCAGCAAACAGCAGCATAAGCAAAGACCCATGTACCTGCACACACCTCTGCCCAACAAACTGCCAAGAGCCCGTTTGCAGCCCCTGGGAACAAGTTACTGACACACATCAGCTCTTGTCACTCTGGGCTCAGGATGTCACTCCCCAGAACAGAGTACGAAGCCCACCCAAACGGCACTGAGCAACCTGTGAAGACCAGGGCATGCTGCTCTATCAAATATAACCTTAACGCACCATCAACACGAAACTGCAACACATTTGAAGTATAAAATACAGCATGCCTGCTGAAGTTACACTGAGCCATCCTTTCAACTGAGCAATTTAATTTATTTTCTCATCCTTTGTAATAGTGTACTTTTTGCTGTGTTTCCTTTCATCTTGCTCTATTTTCAACAGCTTCATTTCCATGTCCATCTCTTCTCCTTTTCCTCAGCATTCATTTCTAATCAACAAGTGTTAACTCACCCCTTAGGTCCCACCCTTTTCTACTATCTACATTCCAATTACCTGGAATAAAAAATAAACTGAATACAAGAAGGGGACATCATTTGCTTTTGCAAAGCCATTGCTTAAGGCTTTTTTCCTTCTTTTCTATTACACTTCCAGTTCAAACTAATTCAAACTTTTGTGATATTAAGTTGACAGAAGTAGGGTTAGAAGCCCTGCCTTTTCATCCATGATAGATTAAACAAAGCATTTAAACATCCCTGATGTTTATGTGATTACACAACGTAAATACATGTGTTTAGATACTCTAGATTCAGACCACAAGTGTAACTACTGTTTCACTTTAAATCTCTAGATGGCTTTTCTGCCCATTTTTCTACACAAAGATGACTCTTGTACTTCTTGTCATCCCTCTCCAGGCCCCTAATAACTTGAGAACTCACTAATTCTATAGAATGGTAACAGAGGAATAAACATTTCAAAAACATCAAATTTCTTTGTGATTCAGGAAAGTTGGTAGCTGAGCAGATTAGTGCTACCTCTAATGAAACACTACAGAATGATTTCAACAGTTAAGCAGTTAGCAAGGCAAGAGTGGTAACCTACATGCACATACATGCTTAACTCTCAGCCAGATGCAGGATATGTCTCTTGTCCATTCTGCAGCTGGAAAATATGGTCAGTGCAGAGCTGAGCAGTTTCTCTTGTGTGAGTAAAGCAGATGTTAGGAACACCATAGATATTATAAAGGGAAGGGAATATCATACCGCGTGGCTTGCTATGCATATAGGGGAGAAGTGAACTTACTGCAGAAGGAAGTGAGAAGTACAGAGGAAGGGCAGGAGGCCCCATGCAGCAGAAGTAGAACAGAAATCTGAAGGAAAACAGCCTGCGTTAGTCCTAGTGTTCACTGAAAAACCTCCATGTTCCTTGCACACAAAATGCTGCACCTTTACATCCTCAAAACCTTCTTGCTTACTTCACAAACAAAATTGCAAAGAAAAATTTCAATATAGGACTGTTAAGACCATTTTTAAATTAGAGAGTCATCCATCTTGCCATATCACAACTGGAATCTGCAACATCATGTGAACTAGGAAGGTAAATCATTCAGTTCGGTGGTTTTCATCATCTAGGGAATAACTGCATATAATAGATGAATCCTTAATAGCTACCATAGGTATATATGTTATAAATGCTTGATTATTGCTCAGAAATAATTGAAGGCTCTAACATAAAAAGCAGTAGAGAAGTTGGAAGTGTGCATGTCAAAATTTTGCATCTTACCTTTCAGCACTGAATGCAGACTCTGTGTCAATGTATACCACAGCCCCATCCAGTCCTCCCATGCTTACAGGTAGCGTAGCCAGCACACTCATCATAATACAAAACTGAGTTTTGCCACAACCTGGAGGGCTTGTTATCTGTAACAAAAAAAAAGATTAGTAACATGAGCAAGAAATGTCACACTCATTTTACCCTAATTCTACTTTTAACTGATGCCCATCAGCCAGAATGCCTCAACTTCTGCTCCTCTAGTTACCAAAGCAGACAGCCACAAAAAGATAGAATATGAAGCCCACAAAGAGCAATTTGTAGTTACTTTTGGATCTGTGCCTTGCTTGTGTCTAACTCATCACCACCAAAGAATAAATAATTGTTCTTCAGATGCAGCATTTGCTTACACTTTCTTTTCTACCTTCCTCTTTCTACTTTGTTATATCTTATATCTGAGGTCCCCTACTCTTCCCCTCCTCTTACTCCCTAACAGAGCCACAGCCAGTTACCCTGCATCTCTTCCTCTGTGCTACCTTCTAAAATAGAGCAGAATTAAAAAATTCCCTGTTGACATTCACATGACACCAAACAACCTTTAAAGCTGCAAAAGAAATCAAAAGCCATTGAGTTCACAGATGTAAGTCATTGCTCAGAAATTATCATTACCTTGGTTACAATCAGGTCTCACCTGGAAATCACAAGGATGATAGCTTAAACCCTGTGAAGTCTGAATGTGCAATACGAACCACGCCTATACAGCAGAGAGACTTTATCCTCCCCAGAGACTACCCTCATGCTACAATGTAACAGGAAGCAAGTTTTAGCTTAGCATACTACATGAAATTTACTTTACAGCATGTGTTTTGTCATTGGTGTTAATTCCCTATCACCATATTTTAGCATGAACACCATTTAATGATTCAGATCAGCATGCCAATGTTAAGCTTTCACCTGTGCTTACTAAAAGCTTACTGCAGTTAAGCAGTATTCAAAAAGAACATTTAATTTGCGTGAAATGCTTCTAGTATGATTTTGATCCAAGACCAAAACCACAAGGATCAAAAGAACACATTGCTTGATGAGATCCCCAGTTTCTGAGAGCAAGACTTTTTTGTACTAGAGATGGCACTAGGCTGTTCTTTATCCACAGCACATTTTAGAGATGGCAAATGAATCCCAGGCCCTGTGTTCAGATAATCATGTGTTCATTAGTACTACAGAGCTTCTGAACAGAATATCACACTGCCACTGCTTCTGGGAAGGGAGATGATGGTGTTTTTAATAATAATATGGCTGAAAAAAACGTTAATAGAAAGTAGAAGTGAATTTAGGCACTAAAAATTTAAACTGTTCTCATTCCAACCCCAGTAGGGACTAAATAATAATGCAACATAAACCCCTTCAATATACACAGCAAAAAAAAAAAAAAAAACCAAAACATATACCCCTTCAAAATACACAGCACTGCCATAACATTTGTTTGTTCTTTTTTTTTTTTTTAGGTTGTGTTTTAATTTAAAAAAGAAAAATTCTTACAGTTGACACACAGATCAAATGAAATTGATTTTTGAGCCAAAGTGCGCAATAGATTTTAAGCACAAACACTGTTGCACCTCAGTATACAATAACATTGCTATGGTTGCACTTTAAACAGCAGCAGCCTGATGTGGAACAGGAAATTTACAGGGAAATACTGAGGGACTGCATTAGCTACTGTCATGTTCTTTAGTTAAAAGCTCTCTAATTACTTTTGTCTTTAAACAAGGCCTGAAAACCAATCTTATCAGTCAATCCACTTCAAGCTTCCACACAAGGAAAATATTAGATGACTTAAATGATTAGAAGCACACACTACGTTTAGCGATTACAGATCAGGAATTAGTCATATTTATGCAATTATCCATCCTCCATCCATCATACTTAAGTTACAAAATGCTGTACCAACAATAGCTGCCACATTTTAACAAAGACCCAAAGCATATATAACATTTGAAGAAACAATACACATTTCTTAGACTGTAATAGTCAAGGAGTCTCACCAGCTGCTTCTAATTAAAATTTGAAATGAACGAGAGAAGGGCATCAATCCAGTTGCTAAATTAAAATATTTGGACAACTGTGAGGAGACCTCATAAAAACATTTGTAGTTTGAGCCCTGCCTGGGAGGTGCCTTGGAATTTATTCAACATTTATTTCAATGGTTGATGCAGGAGTAAATTCAGCAGAGATGCTGTAAACGTGTCTGAGAATTTATGTATCATGTCAGAGAAAGACAGGGAATATTGCTGTATTAGCTAGTATAAGAAAGCAATCCAGTGGAGGAAGAGAGGATTTCCCTTCCCCAAAACAAGAACAATTCATCTTTTATCAGCATTCCTTTAAAGGGCATTTACATGCAATTTAAAATAATCCACAACGAACACTTTTAATGAACTATCACATTTTATTATGGTTACCACTGTTTCAGTGAATGTTTTGATCAACACAATCTTCGTTCAAAAAAAAAACAAAAAACACAAAACTTAAGTTAAGTGCCTGTAATGCAATTTGAAATGAACGTCTGCAAAAAGCTTGCTCAGTTTGCTTTACTCTGAATTTGCTTTGAAAATCAGAAGTCTGCCAGACAGAAATGTGAAGACTACAACAGTTTTTAATTTACCTCTGTCTAGTAAAATATACTTTTATTTTTCAATAAGCTATATATTATTTTCTCTGGCTCTTCTGTCGGGTTTGGATCAAGTCACAAGGAGCTAATTCTTCGTCAGCTACCCAGGGATTAAACTCTTCAATATTCACGAAATCATTACTTTAATTTTTCCTCAGAGGAGTTGGCCAAAAGTTCTGACATCTGACCACAAAGTTTCAGTTACGATTTAATTTCCAACTTAAAGCCTAATAGCGGTTTGGGGAAAAATGGTCTGAGACAGTGAAAGGCAAATCAAATCCCTCTGGCACTCAAAAAGCAAGCGGCTTTGGCTGTAGAAGATACCAGCAGAACTCAACCCTGTGGCTCATGCATTCAAATTCCAAGTTTCCAACCACCCTCACTGCTGGGTAAAGTAACAGGAAGACGACAATTTAGCCCCACCAGTCAGGAAGTGTTACACACAACACACTTTTCAAGAGAACTTCTCTCAGACTTGGAGCATCTGCCTATTAACAGAACTACCAAAGAGCAATCTGCTGGTCAGCTATGCTCCAATAAGTTACAAAAGAGAAAATTAGAAAGACTAAGCTCCAAAATCGCTTGAATCTAAACAGAATATAACTGGAAAAGCATTCACAAGCTACTGTACAGCATCAAAACAGCGGCAGACACTTGATTTCTACTAAAATTTCATCTAACGATCACAAAGAATGCTTGCTGCCAATTTTGAGACTACTTCAGATCTCATGACTTTTGAGAAAATGCCTTTAATAAAGCCTGATTCTGGAGTGACATTAAGTGAAAAAATGTTCTGCAGAGTCATTTGCCTTTATGCTGCCTTTATGTTTGCTCGTAATACTTTCCCGAATCACTTTACAGATTTGGCAAAAGAAAATGAAATGAAAAGAAAATAAACTGCAATTTATTTATCTAAGACATAGTTCCTAAATTCACCTTCTAATTTCTGATGTCCACTTAGGTCTCCAAAATATTTCTGATTGACAACACTGATGCATATTCCTGTTTAAACTGGTGTTGACACTGCAACCATGACCATGCTACACATGGAAAGGCTTAGTGCTTGCAGTTCTGGTCTGATTCATGAGATACCTCGTGGAGACATCAATATTTTGATCACTTAGTGACATCACATATACAAGATAACTTGATTAGGAAGGTCTCTGCCTTTTTAATACAAACATGTTAGAATACGAAAAATCCAAACCTTTTGTTCTGAGAAAAACTTTCATATTTTAAAGTGCAAAGGCTATCCTAACACAGCAGTGTTCTTACAATAAATTGGCAACGAAGCTAAACCTAAATATGAACAAAATATGAATTCTGACACATCAATGTAAATTCGTGGACACAATTTTAAACGTTTTTATGAAGATTTGAATGACGTGTAGTCCGGTAAAGCATATACAAAAATAAATACTCAGAATGTTTAAAAAGTAATATCCCCTCGTTACATAAAAGCTTAGAGTTCCCACTAGAGCAGGAACTGTTACAGTTTAAACCCAGTGCTGCTTAAATTCCAATATGTTTGAAGTCTCTATTAGATTCACAAGTGATTTCTATCTGAGATTAAAACCTATTGACTACAAGCTAGTTTGACTACAGGGCATGGAAAAAAAATATTTTCCTCATTATAACATTTTGCTAACTTCTCACTTCTACTCCTCTACTGTGGCAATTTGCAAGTTGAAATTTGACAAAGAAAAACATTTGGTAAGGATTATTAAAGTGTCTGAGGAAAAAATGGTTTCAATCTGTCTGAATTCAGAGCATGAGACACATATAATATGAATTTTCCACTCATTTCAAGTGCACAGATTAGTTCAGAACTTTACTGTAAGAAGACAAGTAAGAACAATGTCCATCTAGCTCTGGATTCTTTTTCTAACAAGGGCTTAAAACAGATGGTTGTGAAATAACATAAGAAGAGGGCACGCACCCATTGATACTCCCTCCAATGCAGACATTTCTCCATCTCCATTTGTGGCTCACAGACTTCCTAAGCCATAGATTGTGCCTTTCTAGTTTTATAATACTCAGTGACTCCTCTAAGCATCTATACAAATCCTGTCCTTCCAGATAATAGAAGCTGCACAACTTATCACTTTCTGCAAGGCAAAAGAGATTTAAAGTGCAAGAAGATGTAGCGCTCTCTTCTTCTGAAAGGAAAGTTCCAAGCAAAAAAAAAAAGTAGTATTGCATTCAAAAGCCAGAGTGACTGTTAATAGCTATACGTATGCTATATTATAATGTATGCACATATAATGCAAGCCTTAATTGCAGCGTCTTTTCAGAAAAGAATGCATTACGTATTTGTTTTAACGATTAGTTATACTTATATATAAAAGCTCTGTAAAGTAATTTTCATGCCTATCCACTTGATACTTCTGCCCTAGTTGCTCCGCATGCCTTTCTGAAAACCCATGACTTGCTGAAGTCAGAGTGAGTAGTTATTAAAATCAAGACCAATTCCCGATCCAGCACCTTGTGCTCTGATCACTAAACCACACTCCTCCTTTCACCATAAAATCCATGTAATAATCTCCTCTTTTTTTCTGGGCAAATTTTCACTCATTTTTAATAGCGAAATAGGTCACCAAATCTACTTTTTGTTGTTGTTTTCTTACTTAACAGGCTGCAGAAATATACCAAAGTGTAGCCTTTATCAATTAAAAAGCCCACACTTCTAATCCAAATTTTTTGTTCATTGTGTGTTTAATGAACCTAACACAAGGTGGTCAAGCGTGTAAGACTTCTAGGTGTGGTGTGCAACTACAGTAAAGTACATTGGGAAAAAAAATTACCTCTGTGAGGGATCCACAGGGCACTCCACCATGCAAGACTTTATCCAAGCTATGCAGTGTGGTGGATAAAAAAGCTGAAGAGGGATTGACAGACCTCCTTACTTTCATTTCATAAGCCTACAACAGGAGAAAAAAAACAACACAAGATTGAAAAGGTTTTTTTTTTTGTTGAAATAGAAAACTTGTCACATTTGCTTTTGTTAACCTAGACTGACTTAACATTTGCCAATAAGTAAACAATTCCCATCTTCAGTTACAGTCCCCTCTTTTCTCATCACCCTTCCTTGCATTTATATCCCATTTATAGCTCATAGAACAAATTTCAAAGTTCACTGTGTCTCTCTCACCACAATATTAAATAAGGTTTTTATAATGATGTTTCAAAAGTTCTCTCTGTTCCCATTCAATGAGGCTTGCTTTCAACCCATAAAATTCCAGCTTTTACATAAGGGAACACCATGTTATTAGTGACCAAATGCAGAATATTCACAGTGAAACCTAAAACCAAGAATTCCCTGGCCAACATTCATTACCAGTTTGAAACTACCTGGGTTCAAGGAAAGGTTTGCTAAAGATTCTCAAGTCTTTGAACAAGTCTTGGCTTATCCTTTCCAGTTTTGAGAGGAAGGCACGTCAAGAAGACAGGTACAGAACTGAAAAGAGTTGAATTTCTAATTCTTCTGCTAACTAGAACTGGTCCAAGATCAGAATTTAGTTCATAAAAATTATTTTCATTTGGGAGACTGAATCAAATCCAAAGAAGAAATAAGAAAATGGAAGTGCTGATCTGGAAGCTCCAAAAGCTGCTTCTGAAAGGAACAAGTCCTCCTTGTACCTTGCAGACCTCTGCTAAAACTAACACATTCCTCAATCACTGAGCATCAGGCATTTGATTTTAAAAGGAACAATGCAAGATGTAAAAGTTGTTGCTCCAGTCACAATTAAAAGTTCCCAGAGGTTTCAGACTCCTGGCCTAATGAGACACTCTTGAAGCCCTGTCACAGCATACTGCTATACCCTAGCTTGACTAACTGCTTGAGAAAACCTGATTTCTCTAACCTTGAGAGAAACATGGCCATCAGATTTACCCCAGAAATTAAAGGAGATTTTCTGTATTTCTTGGCCTGTTCTAAAGTTCTGTTACCAGGGCTTCCAGTGTCATATTTGGACAATGTTTTCCCTTTATTTATAATTCCTTTTACCTATTTTTCTTTTAAAGGCAAAGATCTTGTCAAACCTTGCTACATCAATCATGATGTTACCTCAGTCACTCTGACCTGAGGTCCATTTGAAATCCAGCATTTGCAAAGATTCAATTCATGCTCTTTAAAAACAGCTAACATCTCTGGTTCTTGAAGTGCAGCGCTGTATTATATGCACTTGCTTATTTGGTCATCTATCACGTCTTAACAGTTCTTGACAATTGCCATTTGATAAACTTCAGTGTCTGCCAAGCTTCTCACCAAAGATATATTTTAGTCCAAAAACTTGACTGAACAGTGATACGTAAGTGATGGGCAAAGGCAAGTGCTAGAAATCTACTTAACACGCTTCCACCTATCTTCAATTTATTGATGATTATTAACAGTTATCTGTATCAAACTAAAGCCCTCCACAGATTTTAATATTAAAGTATTACCTTGTGCAGTCAAACAGACATCACAAATTGAGATCACTCCATTCCCAGATACAAAGATAAGTGACATAATTTAGCTTTTCCCCCAGACAAAGTATTAAAAAGAGAATCAACACAAACTTACTGTCTGCATTTTGGGAGCACAAGCGAGGCTGACTTGACGAAGAAGTTTTTGCACATTTCTGTAGCTCTGTCCCGTCACTTTCATTAGCTCCAAGAGTGAAAGACACAAAAAGTCCTGAAAGAAGATAAAACGGTTCAGAGACCTAAAGGCAGAGGTTGAGGCTAGGAACTACCCTGATACAATTTATACACTACTAGCATACATTTCAAAGGCCAGACTTGCCACTTGTGCTGTCTTCTGCAGTATTTTGTTACACCTCCTCTACTTTTTTCTGATGCCACTCAGGCTATACCAAAAGAAACTGTATTCATATATTAAAGCACACAGCATCAGGGATTAACAATTTAAGAACCGTGCAAAGAAGTTGCAACATATACTTCTCTGCCCACAGAAGTCCTCACTACCTGAAAAATATTCAGAGTACACTGCATCTTCTAGATAGCAGTCCTACAGCTAGATTCTGTACTTATCACGAACACTATTGAAATATATAAGGCCTCTTGCTGTCTTTAGACAAACATTTGTAACAACTTCAGAACTGATTAGTGAATCAACCCAAATCTGATAGTATAATTTTACAATATATTCACATACACTAGATAATGTAGCATATGTGTTTTTTTGTGGAGAGCTCTTAAATGGATGCCTTGCTCCATTCAAGTAGCAGCTGCATGCCTCTGCTGAAATAAAGCACCTCCTGTTTTTTTAGAAGGCAAGATAGTACATACAAGATTAAATGTCTTAGTCATTTACCATTTTAAAGCTACATTTTTACAAGGCAGCAGCTAGATGGAGAGTGAAATGCCCACAGAAAATAAAGCTCCATGTAGATTAAATTTAAAATAAATAAATAAATCCCAAGCCATAAAATAACCTTTTCACCTGACAGGTAGTGATCTGATACCGACTCAGCCTTTCGCACAGCTCTTGAGACAGCTTTGCTCTTCTCAGTTTCTTTGCAGCCATACTTCCCAGTCTACAGGGCAAAACAAACAAGTTTTTGAGAATTGCTTGGAATATGGCAATGCAGACAGCTATAGCCTCCCTTTGCCAAAGAACAGGAAGGAAGGTGTGTATAAATATAGGAAGCCTATGCTACATTGTATTACTGCTCAGAAGATAGATATGTTGAGTTACTTCTCCTCCTATTTGACTGTGTATGAGGCCATGCCAATCAGAACAGAAGAACCAGCAATGCCTGTATGATATTGGTTTCTGGGAAACAAGCAAGCTGGAAATTACTGTGATGAGCCTCTGAATAGCAATGGGAGCAACTTATGTTATTCTGAAAAGCAATGAGGTTATCTTTGAACAGTTTAACGTGAGCTGTATGGTAACAGCAGTGAGCATTTAGACCTGGAATATCGACTGAAGCACAACGCTGGGCTCAGGTGAGCAAGAGAGCGCTCATCACGGGCACTGAGAGAGCAGGGATGCAAAGAGGAGACACCAGGAAGACCAAAGGCCTGGAAACACGCTTCAGTGTGCGAGATTCAAACTACTCCAAGAACCCGATAACCTCCTGGGCAAGCTTATGGAAAGCATGCTGACAGAGAGAGCTCTGCTTTAACCAATAACAGAACCAGAGGCCAAAGCTAGGGACACGAAGACCCAAACGACACGGTAAATAATATTTTGTTCGACACATGGCAAAACAGAAACAGCTCTGGCAGCCAGCTACGAGCCGTATCCATCGCTTCCCGCTTCAGGAGCCTCCGAGTAGCTCCGAAAAGCCCTAAAACTGAAGTATGCAGCAGCTAAGGTTATGGCTACCAACCCTTCGCGCCCCAGCCCGCAGCTGCCTGCATTTGGGGCTATTTGGGGCCGTTTTTGTGCCTTTTTGTGCCGCTCCCGCCCCTCCTCACCCCCCCCGCCTCACCCGGCCCCACTTTTTCAAAGCGCCGCCGCCGCCGCCGCCTCACTGAGGCGCAGCCCCCGGGCAAGGCGCCCGCCCGCCATTGGCTCCGCTCCCGCCAATCGCCCGCAGCCGTGAATGCAGGCGGCGCGCGGGGCGTGCCGGGAGTTGTAGTTCGTGGGGGGCGGGCTGGAGGCGGGGGGGCGGCCGTGATGGCGGCGGCGCGCTGAGGGCGGGCACGACCACGTCCCGGCCGCCTGGTCTCTGTTCTCCTCGCTTTAAAAACTGGCCTGCCAGTTATTACAATAGAACTTCTTCCATGTTTTAACTAGGAATTCCTACAGTGTGCATAGAAAGCAGCTACAAAAGTTCCAAAGCTACAAAGAAACCCTTCTGCGGGAAGGGTGCTGCACACACGCTAATTTGTTAATAAAGAACTTGGGGTTACAGCTTCGTGTCTTCAGATGTGAGGCTCAAACTAATGGTCTTACGCCAGCTCCGTGAGAAGTGCCTGCTGACTTTGAAGGAGCTATTTTTCTGTAATGTGAATGTAAATGGCAGAGTTAGTCATCAAACACGAGACTTCCATGACTTCACTGATGTCCGTAGGGTGAGCGTTCCAACTCGCTCTGGTTTATGCTAGAAAACATGGAAGTTTGTGTTTTAGATACGCTGTCTGTGGAATCTTACGTTCTAGACCATAACCTAACTGAAGAAAAATATGGACTAATGCTATCTGGGACATTTACTGAAGTCCTGTGCACTGAGAAGCGAATGGCTGTTTTTTTGTATTAATAAACAGCGTTACAGTGAAGCTTCAAAATAACACTCCAGCCATTTTTCCGAAGTAGCAAGCAGGAGAAACATAGCAAGAAATAGTGCATAACAAGAAGGCGATTGTCATGAAATGCCCAACAACCATAGCATCAAAAAGATTCGCTAGAATCAGTGGTTCAGTCATACACTGAAAGGAGCTCAACTGCCCAAAGAAGTCCAGGGGGGTTAAGAAGCTGCACGGAGAGTAAGCAGCACATACAAGAGCTACTGAGGGCTTATTTAACAGCTAGCTGAACAGGGAGAGGAGATGAGATGGAGAGAGAGCTCCTCCTGGTGGAGATTGTCTTTAGAAGTTGACTTGAAAAATGGAAGTCGCGATTGAGAAAAGGTGGCTAAAGGAAAGGATGGCTGTTGCTGTGGAGTGGTTTCAGTGGAAAGAAGAGGGCATGACTATTCTATTGCCATTCCATTCCTCTGTTATGGAATTCTATTTACTGCTTGTTAAAAAAAAAAAAAGAAAAAAGAAAAGCAGGAGCCCCAGCTTTGATACCAGAGGTCGTGAAAGAAGTGATATTGCCTTGATGACCTTTTTTTCTCCCACAAATGGAGCAGGTTATCCCCTTTACCTCCAGACCAACAGCCTTCCTTCCCATCTTCCACAAAAGCAGAGTACCTGTATTAAACCAGAGAACTGTTTGGGGACACTGAGCAAGGCAAACAAATCTTATCAGCCAGCTTGTTTAGATTTGTAAGCAAAACTAAGACACCCTGTCGTCTCTCCTGCAAGTTCTTTGCATCACGATTCTCAGTGGAGTCACAGCTGTTCCCCTCTTCACTTCTCATATAAACATTTAAATCTGCTGGAAATTAATCATGCATCATCTTCTCCACGTGACTTGAAAAAATCAGTATTATATATCCAGAGAAGTGTTCTTAAACACCAGTTTACTATCAAAGTTCTCAAGCAGCAACACAGTAGGCAGCTTCACAGCTCCCACATGTTTGAGCAGGACATTGGTCACTGGGGAATCGGGACACTCTGCAAACAGAGTGCAAACACCGCTGCTTCGTGACCTTGGCCAAGTTCTGTAATGATAGGGTATCTGTTTTCCTTCTCATTTTCGGTTTTACGTATTTAGACTGTAAACACAGCAGTGAAAGAAACTGACAGAATTATGTGCCCAGCGTAGCACAGCAGGGCTCTGCTCTAGTCTAAGCCTTTAGCTGCCCCTGGAACTCATAATAAGGGATTAATAAAGCTGAGAGATTATTACTTTATAAGACTGAGACTCTACACATTAATTTAAGACAGTCCTTTAAGCTAGCAACGCTGGAGCAAGACTGTTACAGAAAGATGAAGCATAACAGCAACAACAAATGAAGTCTCATAGAACCAGAGTGCTCTAACATCAAACACACCAATTACAATAAAATCGGGAATGGTGATTAGCTTGCTAATAACCAAACCAAAAGGAGCAAAACCTGATTTGAAGGGTGCAGGATGAAATCCTTATCAGTTCATAACCAAATAAATACTCAGCAGTTGAGTAATTCTGCAAGGCTCCAGAATCCAAATGATAATGGCAAAATACTTCCTTCCTGGAAAAAGAATCCACAAAAAAATAACAATAAATAAATAAAATGAAATCTTCCTGTAACCCAAGACAGACTTCTCTGTGTAACTTCAGACAACAGTTTGGCATTCTGGAACATTTCAGATCATTAATTTCTAAAACAGCATCAGCCTGCTGATATTGACTTAATTCTGCAGTTTCATTACTGTTTTCCAACTACCAGTTATTGCTTTAAAATTAGCAGTGTTCCCCTACCTCTGTGAAAGGAAAACATCTTACGAGAGTACACTGTATGAGAACACAGCAACAACTCTGACTCACGGCAGTAATTCATAGAGTAGTTTTCCACCTTATGCTTGCTGACTAGTGTCTAATTAGCCTAAGATATTCTTACTCCTTGGTAATACCTACTTGATGTCTAACACATTCTTAAAAGCAATCCATGTGCTCCTGAGACTGGAAAGTGATTATAGCCCAGCTCGTGCTTTCCTGGCACTCAAGTCCCAAGAGGTTGCTCAATAACAGCATACAAAGGAACCACCAATGAAGTATTCTACCCATTACTACCTCCCCAAATGAGATGGACATTTTCTTCCAACTCTTCGATGTTTCCTTCATCTCAAAAAGGGAATTGGAAGGATCTCCCAAGGAAGCCCTGGTTAAAAATACTTTATTTTCTATATGTACTTTATCAGAGCTTTAGAAAAGACACCTCAGTTGAGACTCCCTGATGTATCTGCTGTAGGGATTGTGTAGAGGGAAAAGAAAACATCCTTCAGTTGTTCCTACAAACTCCTCAGCTCAACCTAATTGTTATCACTGGCTATAATAAACAGACTGAGAACAGACCTGTGAAAAATTAGCCCATCTTCTCATTCTGGATAATTCTCCCTCCCCCTTTGCTCTGAACAGTCTGTGGACCAGATAAGTGCCTCTCCCCAGGCAATTAACCTTTTTTCTCCTGCTCAGGAAGGATTAAAACCAATTACAATGAATCCTCCTCAGGTATTAGTGAGGACCTGTCTGACCACACACATTTACACCCATGCAAAAGAAGCTTATCTCTCAGGACAATCAGAAGGCATCTCTCCATTTCCTACCTCTCCAGTCATGCTGCTGTGAGAAAGGATTCAGAGTTACCCACCATCCCCAAAACCATTTCAGAAATGTTCAGCACCAATGTAGAGTCTTTGAAAGAGAGCATCTGTACCTCCTACCCTTTTTCCAGAACAGCAGAATAGCCACCTTTGCTGCTATCACAGGCAGAAGCACAGACCCACCTGCACATTACAGCTTTGAAAAATTCAGATGCATTTGCTTTCTGCCCAAATTACAGGAAGCAAAATGAGAAACCTTGGGGATTATTCCACTTTTAGATTGTACTCATCTAAGCAGATTGCCCTCCAAGATCAGCTTCCTACTTCATTTAGCTTTTTCTGGTTAAAGGGACAGCAGGAGCCATTCAAGTCTTTGGGCTTTTTACATTTCCCTGTTAAGTTTCTGTTAAATGAGAAGGCTGTGAACCAGCAAAGCAGCAGCATAACAATCCACAGGGAGTTGTTGTCATCTTTACCAGTACATGCTAAACCCAATTTAGCATGAAGCAAACCCAACCTCATCCTGCCTTTCACCTGTGCCCTACCAGCACCCCTTTTTTACTGTCTTGCCTTGAGGTTCTGTGTACTGAGGTGCTAAGCTTGTCCCAGTAGCAATGTTGCATTTAGCAGGCCTTGCCACTCTCACCACTCATCTCCTGGGTTGCTGAGGTAG